TGGCAGTTCTTGAAGAAGCCAAAGGATTAACCCCATGCAAACCCTCTTGGCAAGCAGGGAGAAAGCTCAGCCCACATTCCTCCAGAGGAGAGGAAACAAAGGGCATGCTCAGCTCTCCATTTCTGCTCACAAGTGGCTGTGAAAAGCCACCGGGGACCCAGGCTGGGCCTGTCTGTCCCTGCTGGGGCTGGTGGCAAGGTGGTGCTCTCAGTCCCAGGGCTGAGCCCTGCAGCATCCCATCCCCACTGTCTCAGCTCCACACACAGCCTCCATCCCCATCCTGCTCCCAGCTGAGTGCCAATGGCTGTAATTTGGATCAAGCTTAGCTGCAATTAAAGTTTCCATCTTTTCATTAAACTGCCACATGGAAAGATTAGCATTGACTTTGCATTTCTTCCTTTTCGACAGATCAATTTTATCCTTGTGGCAGTTGTTTTAATGGGGTTGTAAATAGCCTCCCAGAGCAGGAGAGGTTGCCCTCACATCCAGGGGCTCTTGGATGGCAGATTATTTTAGATATAAGATTGGGGCTGTCATTTGCTTCTAATTGCAACAATTATTTGTAGAGTTAAAAAAAAAGTACTTGGAGTACTTGCCTAATTCTAGCCTCTAGAAAAATCATGTTAATTACTGCTTGATTCCCTATTCATTAACTCCCCTCACAGTTATTCCAGAGCCTTTCAGTGGAGTGGCACAGATGGGAACAGGGAGGGCTCAAACACTGCTGTAATTAACACTTAGCACATGTCACATTAATGCCTAACTTTGCTTTGCTCTCCCTCTGACAGAAACCTAAGTTGGAATCCATTTGTTTGTGATTGCAAACTGTCCTGGCTGCCACGGTGGGTGGAAGACAGAAAAGTGCAAGTCCTTGAGGCTTCAGACACGAGATGTGCTCATCCCCCTGAGGTGGCAAACCTGTCCCTCTTCGATGTCCAGTTCCCCAGTGCCACCTGTGGTAAGGAAGAGCTGTGGGGGTGGAGCTGATTAAACCAGGGGGAATGATGGGCCCAGGGGCAGCTTGGGGTCCCATCAGCCTCTTCAGACCTCAAGTCACCAGTTCTAATCTAATTAGGCAAATAATGGTCCCTTAGGCTGTGCCCTTATGCCTTAAGGATGGAGTCAGTGACATCAGGGCTGAGATTAGCGCTCTGATTACAGAGCAGGCTCAGGCAGCTACCAGATGCCACTGGTTCTGTGTCTCCAGCCTCAGCCTTTCCCTCTCTCAAGCTCTGAACAGTCTGACTTGAAGCCGTGAAAGCTCATGGGAGTTGTTGGGTCCTGAGGCCGTGCTGAGTTGAGTCTGTGCAGGTGGCAGGGCTCCAGGGCAGGAGTGTTGAATGAACATAGCTCTGATCTACAGCTCATCACCTGCTCTGGGTGCATTTTGTGACTGCTTGGCCAGCAGAAATGTCAGGCAGTGATTAACAGGAGGGAAGGAAGGGAGAGCCCTTGGAAGACTAATCCTGCCTGGATGCTTGGGAGGGAGAGCCAGGGCTGTCTCCAGCAGGCATCAGGTGTCTCTTGTGTGTGATGGGAGGATGCAGGAATGGGACTGGGGACCTGAAGCTGTGTGACAGGAGGATGCAGGGATGAGGGACCCAGAGATGTGGGATGGGAGGATACAGGGATGAGGCTGAGGGACCTGAAGCTATGTGACAGGAGGATGCAGGAATTATCAAAGGGAAAAACACTGGCACTGCTATTGCCTGTGATAATTAGTTGTTCCCTCCGGAACTAACTTCAAGCCAGTGTAGAAATAATAATGTGAGTCTGTGTTGTGAATAATTCAGTGCAAGGGGAGTAGGCTGGGACAGCCTGCAGCTCCTGACAGTTGTTGCTGATCAGCAGGGAGTGAAGGATGACCAGGCTGGTGGGAAAAGCAGTTCCCATGCTGTGGTCCTCCTCGTGGGACTGCTGTTAGAAGTGCCTCAGTGTTTGCAGGAAGGCTGTGGAGGAAGCTTGGATGGGTTGGATCTGGGACGATCACGCGGCACTGGAGCTGTTGAGATGTTTGGTGGAGATGTTGTAGCAACCAGCAGCAACAGCAGAGTGAACGTGGCCGAGCTGCGTGGGCAGAGGCGAGGGGAGGCCAGGCAGGCTCAGCTGGGCTGTGTGTGCAGCAGAACCTCTGCCTGGGTGTTTGTGTCAGGGGAACATCCCACCCCTTGCAAGCAGCGGGAATTAATCTCAAGGGAATGAGCTGTTCCTCTGGGAATGGGCTGGTGTGACTGCCATTGCTCTATGTGTCCACGCACACGTGTGTTTGTGCTCCCTTAGCTAGGGATGTGTTGTTTCTGTGCATCCTTCCCCTGTGCATCCTTCACACCCCTTTGGGTGCAGGCTGAGCCTGGTATTGACCTGTTTCCTAGCACCAGAGGTAGGTGGGAAGCTCCTGGCTCTCCCCACAGAGGAACATGGTGCAGGATCTGCCCAGCTCCAGTGTGGGTCTTGTGGAGAGTCCAGCAGTATGTCCCTCATGCCCCCAGGGTGCCACTGCCCAAGGGGGTTTGGTTATGGCCTTGTGGCTGCAGTCCCAGGTGGCACATGGACTCATAATCTCATAGTATGTTAAGGGATTGGAATGGCTCTTAATGCTCATCCAGTGCCAATCCCCTGCACTGGGCAGGGACACCTCCCACCAGAACAGGTTGCTCAAGGCTCATCCAACTTGGCCTTTACTCGCCACTGAGTGAGACCATGACGAGAGGTTGTCCCTTGGTGTTACCCTGGCTTGGTCTGGTGCAGCATGTTTCACCAGGTCGAGCCAGGGATGATCTGTCGTCACGTCTCACTTGGTGGAGAGTCCTGTGGGCTCCTCTGAGCGTCAGACTCAGCGGCTCCGTGTCCCATGGGACTGTCAGGCTCTCCAGAGCTCAGTTTTATTTACTGAGTGTTGCTGCTCCATTAATCTGTGGGATTTGCTTGTTTTTTCTGTCATCGTTAATTAGCATAAAGAGTTTGGAAACTGTTGCTGAGGGATTAAAGATTTCCTCAGAAAAGAAATGCTCTGAGGAGGATCTGCGCAGGAGAATTCCATTCCCAGGAGTTTTGAGTGGTGTCTCATTCACCAAGCCATGCCTTCACAGTGTTGCTTTGCAGGAGGATGGTTTCATAGTATATTAAGGGGTTGGAACGGACCTTAGAGATCATCCAGCCCCAACCCCTGCCCTGGGCAGGGACACCTCCCACCAAAGCAGGTTGCTCAAGGCTTTAGCCAACCTGGCTGTGAACACTGCCAGGGCTGGGGCAGCCACAGCCTCCCTGGGCAACCTGGGCCAGTGTCTCACCACCCTCAGAGGAAAAACTTCTTCCTGATAGCTAATCTAAATTTCCCTCTTTCAGTTTATCCCCACTGCTCCTTGTCCCGTTAGTTCCTAACACAGAGTCCCTCTGCAGCTTCCCTGGAGCCCCTTCAGCTCCTGGCAGGTTGCTCTGAGGTCTCCACACAACCTTCTCTTCTGAACAGCCCCAGTCTCTCATAGGGGAGGTGCTCCAGTCCTCTGATCAGCTTCGTGGCCTCCGCTGGACTTGCTCCAATGTCCTTATGTTGGGGACTCCAGAACTGTAATCTGTTCTTCTAATAATAATCTGTGATAATAGTGATCTGTGATCTGTTCTAATCTGGATCTTCTACCCCTCAGGAGCTCAGTACATCACATGTCTGACCAGCAACCACACCGAAGAGGTTGAACTTGTCATCCTCTTCACGTCTGTCCACGCCGGGGGCCTCACTGAGGAGACCTGCAGTGCCCTCTGTGCTGCTGAGAACCAGGAGTACGGAGGTTTCAGCTCCCAGGGGCAGTGTTTGTGTGGGACTGCCCAAGAAACAAACTCCTCCTCTGGCTGTTTGCTGTTTTGCACTGAGCATTTGCCCTGGCAGGGCTGTGGTGGCCCCTCACTCATCCCTTCGTCCTTCCAGGCACAGCTGCCTGTGTCTTTCACAGGGCTCCAGCCCAGGTACAGCCTGCACCAGGCTGTGCTCTTCAATGTCAGTATTCCCATTGCTGTCAGCACTTTACTGTGGGAATTTGGGGACCAGACAGAGGTTCTCAACACCACTGAAAACGCAGCTGTGCACACCTATGCCTTACCTGGGAAGTACAATGTCACTACCACCGTCCTCGTGGGCACCAAGGTCTTGTATGTGCAGGCAGAAATCGAGGTGGTGGCTTCACCCCAGCAGCTGGACCTGCAGTGTCCTTCTTTGGTCAAGACAAATGAAAGTCTGGACATAAGGATCCGTAACAGAGGTGGCACCAGCCTGGCCGTGCTCTACGGGATCACTGCGGAGAATGGAGAGCTGGGCAGAGGTAAGCAGGGCTGGGGTGGGTGTGCTGGGCAGGGGGAGGGGTGGCATTGGATCCTGGGCCTTCCTTTCCATCCCTTCCCAACAAGGGATAACTCCTCTAGAGGCTTCTTACTCCCCTGGCTGACCAGTGTTCTGCATGTCGGCAACACACTAGGTTTCTTGTCATCATTCCTGGAGCCTCTCATCCCACATTGGGTTAGGGTGTGTGGCTCTTAGAAAGGACATCACACCTGTGTTCTCCCTGCAGCAGTTCACCCCATGTGTCCCTCTGATGGCTTGGTGTTCCCTGGCAACAACCACTGCTACCAGCTGGTGGTGGAGAAAGCAGAGTGGCTGGAGGCACAGCGGCACTGCCAGGGCCACGGCAACGGGGACCTGGCGTTTGTCAGCAGCCCTGACATCCAGAGCTTCTTGGTTGCTCATGTAATCAGGTGAGTGAGGAGGGGAAGGGTTAGGATTCCCTAGGGACAGGGGTTGTGTTCTTGGGGTCACATCTGCAGAGGGTCCCAAGGGAGGGTCCTGCCATCGTCCAGGCTGCGTATGGTGGGGGTGAGGCTGCTGAGCAAAGAGGAGGAATGAGCGGAGCTTGAGCCCTTGCTGGGCTTGGTTTCTTTCCTTAAAGGCTGTGGAGGGAAAAATAGGAATGGGGCAGAAAGGCTGGAAATTGGAACTGGGACCTGTGGGATTGCTGCTGGTGCATTTTGTAGCCTGTGTTTGTGCTTGTGGGTGCATCTGGAATGGGGCAGAGGTGCATGGCCAGGAGCACACGGGGCTGGGCTGAGCAGAACTTCTACCTGAGAGTGGCTTTAGACCGAAGGAGAGTGATTAGATTGGATATTAGGATAAAATTTTTCCCTGCGAGGGTGCTGAGGCACTGGCACAGTTGCCCAGAGCAGCTGTGGCTGTGCCATCCCTGGGAGTGTTCCAGGCCAGGTTGGATGGGGCTTGGAGCAACCTGGGCTGGTGACAGGTGTCCCTGTCCATGGCAGGGGGGGGACAAGAGGGTCTTAAAGGTCCTTCAACCCAAAGCATTATGTGATTCCATGGTTCTATGAGTGCAGCAAAACCTGCAGGCTCAGGTGGGGTGGGGGAGAGGACCAGGTGCTTGTGTCCGGAGGATGACACGAGGGAGAGGGTGATGTGGGGATGATGGTGGCCTTGCAACCAGCTCCCTCCATCAGCAGAACTCCATCTGGTCTGTCCCACATGTGATACTGTGGCATTGAGCAGCAGCTGTAGCAGAGCCCACACCAGTGCTGCAGTCCTGCCTCCCAGCCAGATTCCTGCACCCTCCAGACACGGCTGCAGCCCAGACCCTTCCCCTCTTGTTTCTCACCCTGAAAAGGAACAGCTATCCTCTCTGAGTGTCAGGCTCCAGCAGCATCTGTTCCACCTCAGGACTGGGCTTTATAAACAGAGAGTGCTGCAAGTGTCAGCCCATGATTAAATCCACCCCTTGAGTGCCCTTTCTGCAGCCGTTCTTGGCGGGAGGGAGAACAACCAGGAGATCTCTCAGGCCTGACAGCCCTTGTCAGCACTCCCAGCTGCAGATGTGGGAGAAAGGCTCTCCATAAACACATCCCAGAAAGCACATGGGAGGGAACAGCTGTGCGTGGCGTCGGCTCCGAGCAGTCCTGAGCCTCTTCTTCCCAAGCTTGTATCCATGCCATGCTCCCTCCACACTGGGCTTTGTCCTGAGATGGCAGACATGTGTCCCTTGCTCCGGGGAGGAGGAGGTTGACCCTCTCCATGGGTTAGGAGCTGGTCAGTGGTGCTGTGATGAGTGAGGCATTGCGTGCAGGGCCCATGGAAAGCATGAGAGCTCCAAGGGAGCAGCCCAGGCTGTTCCCCAGCTGCTGCCCCACACTGCTCCCTCCCCAACCCCTTTAGTCCATGTATTTGTTTTCTGAATCCTTGCAGATAAACATGAAGGAGGCAGCTCCAGGATGTGATTCCCTGGCAATAAAAAGCACATTGGCTGAGCTGCAGGGTTTTGGAACATGAAGCTTCCATAGTTTCTATGGGAAAATGACAGAAGCAGGAAGCTGTTTCCCATTAGAGCATGCAGCACTGACGACTGCTCTCCTCTCCTGACGTGGGATGGCCTCCCCAGGAGCTGGGCCCTCCTGCCTCCAGAAGCAGAGGAGAGGACCTGGCAGGGGACCTCACTTTCCCCTCTGAGCAGCATAGGAGGACAAGAGCCTCTCTCCCCTTTCCAGTCCTCCCCAGGCTTGTTCTCCTCCTGCTGCCCTGAGCAAGGCAGCTCAGCCCTTCCTCAGAGGCAGAAGGATGCTCACATCTTGCTTCAAAAGAGAATGTTTAGAGTCCTCCTGCATGGGATGGGAGGGCAGTGGGGCAAGGTGGGAGCCAGCCAGCAGCTTGGCTTTTAGTTTTTCCCCTTCTTTCTTTCCCTTTTTTCCCTCTCATAACTTGCAGTTAGATCATAGCTGGAATTAGAAAAGGAAAATCTCCATCTAGTTTTCCTGATGGCAGCACACAGGCTGTTTCCTACCCTGCTCTCCCTAATCCCCTACCAGTGGTTCAGGAGCACAACACAGCCCTTATTTGTTTGATCATCTTATTTGCACTGAAAACTCCTGATTCACACAACAGTTATTTTTGTCATCCTTCTTCAGCCTGACTTCATGAATCATTTCATCTGCTGTGGACCTGTGGGTGGAGAGACACCAGTTGTCTCCTCAGGCTGCTTTGCAGAGCTGTGGTACCACCCCAGGAGGCTGGAGCAGCCAAGGTCATGGCAGGATTGATTGCAACCTGCAGGAGGGAGTGTGGAGAAGAAGCTGAGGGCTTGGAAGGGTGCAGGATGTCAATATGGAGAAGTTAATAGAAGTTAATATGGAACAAATGCTCTGCTTTCTGCTGGGTGTGATTGGAAACAGTTGTCCAGGCTGGCTGTGGCTAGGAGGCACTGCTCAGCACTTTCCACCAGGATCTCTGCTGGGGTTCAGCCAGTTTCTGAAAGGGGAAGGGACATTTCATCTCCCTACAATGAGCCTGGCAGTTTCTTGTGTATGTGGGGTTTGGCTCCCTGCAGTGCTTCAGCCTCTGCTGCTGCTGGTCCCCTCAGAGCTGCTGCTGTGAGGAGGGATCAGTTCCATGAGCTGCATCCAGGAGAACAGGAGCTCCCAGACCTTGCACCACTGAGCTTTGATCGTGCATGGGGGCAGGTTTCACTTGCAGTGGAGAATTTTACAGGTGGCAAATCCCACAGGTCTGCGCAGATGAAGCACAAGTTTTCTAAAGCTTGTTCAGGCAGTTCTCTATGACTTTATAATTCCTGTTAGGTCATGGCTCAAAACAGGCTTGGAAGTGTCTGGGACGATCATTGTAGCTGCAGCGTGGACAGGTCATCATAACACAGTGCTCTCCTCCAAGGGAAGTAAGGTTCAAGTCAACCTGCTGGTCAGAGAATCATAGAATCATGGAATGGTTTGGGCTGAAAGAGACCTTAAAGCTCATCTCATCACAGGATGTGTGTTAGTGCATGGAGAATCATAGAATCACAGAATGGGTTGGGTTGGGAGGGGACCTTAAAGTCCATCCAGTCCCACCCCCTGCCATGGGCAGGGACACCTCCCACCAGCCCAGGTTGCTCCAAGCCCCATCCAACCTGGCCTGGAACACTCCCAGGGATGGAGCAGCCACAGCTTCTCTGGGCAACCTGTGCCAGTGCCTCAGCACCCTCAACAGAGTTGTGCAGAGCTGGTTCGTGGACAGCAGAATGGTGAGCCATGGAGGGGCTGGTTCTGAGAAGCCAAGTTCTGGTGGTAGAATGGATGCTGAAACCCTTCAATAATCAAAAGGCTTCATTAAATGCAGCCTGTGATGCCCTGATGAGGCTGTTGGTATTACTGTCAAGGAGAGCCATAGGTGGCAGCTGTCCCAGCTCTTTCTAATGCTCATGATTTCCTGAAACCCTCCTCCCCCTTTTTCCTTATTTTTCTGAAGGAGCCTGGATGTCTGGATTGGATTCAATGATTTTGCAAGCTCTGGAGCACAGCAAAGAGGGGAAGGATTTAATCTGGAGAGCTGTCAGAACTGGCTGCCAGGAGAACCTCATCCCTCCAACGCTGACCACTGTGTCCGGATGGGCCCAACAGGCCAGTGCAACACTGACCTGTGCATGGCCAAGCACAGCTATGTCTGCGAGTACAAGCCAAAGGGTGAGCTCTGCCTCTCCTGGCCTCCTGGGCAGGCAGGTGTCCTGCCCACTGGAACATGCTAAATAGGGCTGCAAGAAGGGCATTAGCCAGAGCATCCCCCAGAACAAGTAGAACTTGCAACAATATTCCCAGTTTAGGCTTGACTGAACTTCCAACTTCAGCCCAAAGGGGAGAATTTAGCCCACTCCAGTCTTTGCCATCAGCAGGAGGAGAGAGAGTAGTGAAGCTTTGAGGCAGAGCTCTGGAAGTAGCTTATTTGAGCTTGTTCTCCTCCTGCTGCCCTGAGCAAGGCAGCTCAGCCCTTCCTCATTTACAGGTGGCAAATCCTGTCTTATTTGAGCAGCCTCTGCTGCTGCCAGGGTCCAACACCATGGTGCTGCCTTGGTGGTTTGGTGTCCTGTGGTATTGTGTAGTTTGGGAGATGTTGGGATCTGGTGTCTTCAAGGATCACAGAACCTTGGAGATCATTAGGTGAGGTGTGGTGTGGTGTGTGCTGTGCAGGTTGGTGTTTATGCAGCCTCCCATATCTCCCAAAGTGGTGTAAGAAAGAGAAGCAGGAAGGACATGAAATATGAGAGAAGGTTTAGGTTAGAAGGAAAAGGCATCACTAGGAACAGGCCACTGGTCCTGGTTGAGGGCGCAGCATAAGCCCCCAGAGCGTGCTCAGAGGTGTTTGGTACTGGTGGAAGCCAACTGGTCCTGGCCACATTTCCCATGAAGTCCAGGGGCACAGGGAGGATGAGGAGTGCACCAAGTGCTCAAAAAACTCTAAGCAAATCATTAGTTGTTGGAAGGGAGAAGCATTTGCAGAGTTCCTAGAAGCCAAAATTGCTGAGAATAGAAAATGTTCTGTGTGTGGGATGAGAAGGAAATCAGAACACCTGGAAGAAGAAGGAAGGCTCAGGATCAGGGAGCTGCTTCTTGAGTAGGGCTGGAGTGACAGCATCCTGCATGGTCCAAGCCCTGAAACAGTTTTGCAGGGTGCAGGGAATACCTCATGCCTTGCTGAGTCTCATGGGCTTTGTTCACATACTTCCTTTGTAAACAGGAATTCTCCTAAATGCTGCAAACTACTTTGAGGGACAACCTGTCCTCGACACCCATGAGGCTGTGAGGAATGTGATTGAGGGTGTGCCATCAGCTCCGTGGCAGGCTGAGGAGGTGAGGAGGGTTTGCCCATCCCAGGGAGCCTGGGGAGACACAGGCAGGTGAGAACCATGTGTGTTTTGCAGGTGATGGTGTTTCCTGGGCTGGCATTCAGGCACGAGGGGTATCTCACTGCCCTGGAGTTTGTGGCACAGGAGCTGCATCAGCCTGTCCAAGTGAGCTTCCAGGTGCATAGACCAATGGATGGAGAAGGTGAGGCATCTCCTCAGCACTTGTGGGATTGTTGGAGTTGAAGCCATCAGGACCATGTTGAGCTGTGCCTTGTGGCCCTTCTGGCTTCAAAGCAGAGCTTTTGAAGCATTAAAGGCTCAGAGATTTGGATTTGTTTGTTGAGGAGATGAAAGTGCAGGGTCTGCAGGTAGGGTTGGACAGCCTGAGGCTGCCTTGGAAAAGTGGCTATAAAGGAGAAAATAACAGAGGGAGAAACCTTTCTCAGTGCATGAAGAGAACGTGAGTGTAAGGAGCATGTGTAGAAGTTAATTAACGCTCTGAGCTGTACTTTACTTTGGGAGGACACATGTCAACTGGGAATGTGTTCTGGTCCATCTGGCCCCACGGGTTAACAAGGAAGAACATTTTCCTGAGCCCATTTCTTCCTGATGGATGAGATGATCTGAAAAGCCTTTTATTCCTTGTACAGCAGCTCAACAGTCCCAGTTTTGGCAACAATGAATTGTGCAGCAGAATGTTTGCTGTAGCTGGAGCCTTGGCTGCTTACAAAAGGCTCTTTTTTGACACTGACAAGCTGATACTTTGACATGGAAACATTAACTTCAGAAAAGTTGATTAATGTGTTTTTAGTGTCAGAGCCAGCTCTGCTTTCCCTTGGACTCAGTTTTGCTTGAACACAGTTCTCTTTTGGAGTGCAAATTGGTGTGTTCTTATTGAAAAAGAGACAGCTTTGGGTTTAATGAGCTTTGTGAATTTTTCCTGGGAGACAGGGCAGTTAGGTGGCAGCAGGATGTGCTGCAGTTGCAACTTTTACTGAGTGGAGCCATGATCAGAGTGGGGAAAAAAAGGTGAATTTGGAGTAAACAAGGTGCACTAGGAATGTTCCTTGTCAGGATGGTGATCATTGCTTTGTCTTTCACTTCTCCCAGACTACCAGGAGGGAAGCAAGGCCACAGAGCCATTCCACACTGCTCAGGATGATGGGAACTGGACAATGCTGGAATGTCCTCCTGGTTTCCAGTGGTGTCATTTGACTAATTTGTGCTCATCCCCCAACAACTGCTGCAATGCCAGTGAGTGTGCCAACAGTTCCACTGCCAGCAGCTCTGCCCCTGGGTCCCTGCAGCACAACACGAGCCAACTCAGCTATGAGCTCATCAAGGAATTGCTCTTCACCATACCAGCTGGCTCCTCTTCCCATTATCTGGTCAGTGTTTGCTAGCTGCTGTAACCAGTGAGTAGGTGGGGCAGTTTCCTCCTGAGGCCTTTGGCTGAATTTGAGTTGTTCCCAGTTGACAGATGGAGACACTGAAGTCCATTGAAATGAAAGGATGTGCCCAGTGTCACATATGCCACCACATGGCTCTAAGCCATGGACTCCCTGCAGGAACCTGTTGCCATAGCACAGTTGGTCAAAGGGATCAGAAGAGGTTGCCCAGAGAAGCTGTGACTGCTCCATCCCTGGAACTGTTCCAGGCTAACTTGGATGGGGCTTGGAGCAACCTTGGCTAGCAGAAGGTGTCCCTGCCCATGGCAGGGGGTGGTACTAGATGATTTTAGGTCCCTTCCAACCCAAACTATTCCATGATTCTATGAAAAGTCTGTGCAGGTTCCCTGGCCTATTCCCATAGCACAAACACAGTGGGCATGGACACAGAGCTGATTTCTGTGTTGGCACATTCAATTCAGAGCAGCCAAGGACAGCAGAGTGGTCAAAGATCTCTCTGGGCTGTGTTTGGATCTGTGGCTTTTCTGTTGGCTTCCACTTGACAGGAAATCCACCGTCCTGCCCAGGCAGGAGCTGGGTGCTGAGTGCTCTTAATGTGAGGCATTAACATGGGCAAGGGCCAGTGGGGATAAATTGAAAGAGGGAAATTTACATTAGATATCAGGAAGAAGTTTTTCCTCTGAGGGTGGTGAGGCACTGGCCCAGGTTGCCCAGGGAGGCTGTGGCTGCCCCAGCCCTGGCAGTTGTTCAAGGCCAGGTTGGCTAAAGCTTTGAGCAACCTGCTCTGGTGGGAGGTGTCCCTGCCCAGGGCAGGGGGTTGGAGCTGGATCTCTAGGCTCAATTCCAACCCCTAAAATTCTATGATTAATCCAAAAATGTCTTCTCTCTGCAGGTCACATTCAGAAGAGAAAACATTTTTGTCAGGGCTGGGGATGTGTTCAGCATCCAGCACAATGCAAGCTCGGGGTCAGTCCTGCAGTGCCAACCCAGTGCCACGTCCCCATACACAACCAACGTCCTGCACATGAAGTCCTCGGAGTGGGCCCTGTCCCTGTCTGATGGCTTCATGGATCCCACCTGGATAAACCACACTGTTTGCTCTCTCTGGGTTCGCTACGCTGAGGAGCAGCTGGTCCCAGTGCTCACCCCCCACAACGCAGGGCTGGAGCATCCTGGTCGCTACACTGTCAGAGCCAATGTGGACAATGGTGTCTTCAGTGCCAACTTGTCCTGCAGCTTCTGGGTGTCCTCACAGGTGTCAGGCCTGCGTGTCATCCACCCCCCTCCCCAGGGCAGCAGGGTCTACCTGCCCACCAACCACAGCACCCTGCTGATCAAGCTGTCCTCGGGGGCGAACGCCACCGCACGCTGGCTGGGGGACAACCGCACCGTCCCCTTCGTGGGGCACTGCCCCACCACCCTGGGGCCGCTGCCAGCTGAGTGTGCCAGGGACAGCAATGACACCTGGTTTGCTGTGGTGCAGCTGAATGGCCTCAGGGAGGGGGTGAGCACCCACGTGCTCGTCGCAGAGAACTCGGTGAGCTCGCAGAACATCACGGTGACGGTGAAGGTGGAGGAGCCGATCCGCGGGCTGCGAGCCACGCCGGACCCTGAGAGCAGAGTGCTGCTCAATACACGAGTGGTGAGTGATTGCTGCTGCTCTCGATTCAGCAGTTGTGTTCTCAGCCTTCCCCTTTAGCCTGTAGGTGTGTGTTTGGCTCAGGAGGAGGCTGGGGCTGGGACAGCACTGCTTGCTGCTAAGCTCCCGGGCCGTGCTGCTCGCGCTGCTGCAGACACAGGCACAAGCACTGGTGCTCTCCAGCAGGGAGGCAGCTCAGCTGTGTGTTCCCTTCAACCCCCTCAGAGGTACGGCAGTACCTCCTAGGAGGGGATACTGTCTTTCCAGCTGCACAGGAGACAGGAGGCACCGTGAAAGGCCAGTATTTGCCTTCTTTTGGCTTGTTCAGGTAGTGATTCCTTTAGGTGTATAGATTTGTTCTACTAAATCCTTACATCAGCTGTAAACATGTTTCATCCATCCAAGTCTTGGGGTTCCTCTGATCTTTGCAGTCTTATTTTCTCCAATCCCCTGTCCCCAGAGCTACAGGTGAGCCCTGAGAACCTGTTCAGCAAGTGCCCAAAATGCTCTGTCCAAGCTCTGACTGCTTACAGCAGATTCCTGTGCCTGCAAAGCCTCTTGGTCTCGCCCTTCCTGGCTGCCACAGTGTGCTCGCGAGGCACTGTCAGAGTGAGGAGGGACCTGCCCTGACCAATGCCTTTGTGTCAGGCACCATGAATGGGCAAGGGGCAGAGACAGCTTACAGGTGCTGCCAAAGCTGGGTTGTTTCTGCACGGGTCAGAAGGTTTTTTTAGCCATCAAGAGAGACCTGATGCCAAGAGCAGAGAGGTGTGGGAGCAGCCAGCATGGGGTCTGCTCCCTGTTCTCCTGGGGATTTGTGGAGTTAGGGTCTGCATTTCTCCATCAGCAGCAGAGCCACAGATGATCTGTCACCTCTGTGTCATGGTCTGAGGGCACTGCCTGCAGGTGTGGGTGCCTCCCAGTCTGGCTCTGCTCCCTCTCCAGTTCAGCTGGAGATCTCCTGGGCAGTGCTGGGCATGCTTTTCTCTCATACTAGTATGAAATGTTCTCATGCCTTTCAGAGCTACATCCCTGTGATGGAGGCTGGGTCAGATGTGACTTTCCGATGGACAGTAGATGATAAACCATCTTTCACTTTTTACAATGTTGTCTTCAACGTTATCTACCAAAGCCCAGCTGTGTACAAGCTTTCGGTAAGCCAAGGCCTTTCCCATGGTACCATTTCAGCACTGGGTCTCCAGCTCATCCCACAGACTCACCAGGAAAAGCAGCAGGGAGTGGAGGTGGCAGAGTTGAGTTGAGCTTTTCTCTGAGCTTGTCTGCTCTTTCTCACTGAGCTGTTCTTGCGGATGCAAATGGTTTCTTCTGTTCTTCCATTACTTTGCTGTCTTCCTCATCTTTGCTTTCACCTCTGTTCTCCTTTCTGTTCACGGAGTGTCTGTGCTTCCTCCTTCCCAGTGGGAATGAGGCAGGGAGCCCCACTGCTCTGGCAGGCAGGAGATATGGATTCAGATGCAGGCAGAGGCAGGATGCAAACCTAAGGCTTCCATAGGCAGGACACAGCTTCTCCCGCAAGCTCTTCTGGGTTCCTCCTGTTCTCTTCCTCCTGGTGCAGACTGGAGCCCAGGGTTTTGCCATGGCCCCAGGTGGATGGAGCAGAGGGTCTGTGCCAAGGGAGGTGCCTGTGTTGGAACAGGAGTTTATCTGTGGCCAGGACCTCTTTGTTTGTCATGCCCTGTAGTGCCATGCAGAGTCCTGCTCTGGTCCAAGCTGCTTGATCTGCTCACAGGGTGTGTGCTGGTTCCCAAGGAGACACAGCCCCAGCCCTGAGGCCACGCTAGCACTAATTTGCTTGGTGCAGCACTAATTTGGTGGGTGAAGCACTTTGCTGACAAGCCTGGGTTGCTTTCACTTACAGAGCTGACAAGGTGGCACTAGCCTCGGGGCACTGGCTGCAGTGCAGCAGATCCACAGGAGCCTAGACACAAACTTTTATCTGTTGGGGTGGGAGGTGTCTATTCAACTCGGTTTGAAGGATCCCTCTGGCAGCAGCTCAGTTCTTTTGCCGGTGAAGTGGTGGCAAGATGCTTCACCATCAGGTGCCATGTCAGTGTTACATGTCTAGATAATCTTGAGGATTCTGCTCTACTTCTTTCACGTCTCTTGCCTCCCTTTCCCTCCCCTGCCCAGCTTTGTTCTCCCTCTCCATACCCACTACACCAGGACCCTGAAGATGCACTTTGTGTGCTTGGTTTTATGAGCCTCTCCCACCCCTGTTCTCTGTGGTTGAAGCCACTCATCTGCCACTGCCCCAACAAGACTGGGTGGCTATTGTCTCCTTGGTGGCAGCAAGTCCCTGGGGTCAGCAGCTGGAAACTGTGCAGAGGACACTCTCTAAGGGGTAACTGGCAAGTTCAGAGCCAGAGAAGCCTCGGGATGAGAAGTTCCTGTCCCTGTGCTCTTGCTGTAGCCCCAGTCCTTTCTTGTTCTGACTGTAGTGGTGAAGATGTGGTGGCTCCAGCAAGAGGTGATCGGGTAGGTGACCTTCCAGCCTATACTGCTTTCCAGTGCCATCCAGGCTCTTGCCCTGCCTGTCTGTCCCATATGCCACTCTTCTCTGCCCTGACCTACTCTCTGCCTGATGGGGCCTCTTCAGTCCAGTGAATCCTCACCCTGAGGAGAGGGCAGCATGGTGAGGTGATCCCAACCACATTCTTTGTCCCACTGTCCTCCCCAGCTCACAGCCTCCAACCACGTCAGTAACTTCACGGTCAATTACAATGTCACGGTGGAGATGATGAATAAGATGAAGAACCTGAGTGTGGTGGGTGTCCTGCCAGTCCTGCCCCAGAACAGCACCGTGGAGCTCACAGCGAGGGTGCAGGTCGATTCAGCTGTGGATGCTTTGTTCCTGTGAGTCCTTTGCCCAAGCTCAGGATCCTCCTGTGCACACCTTACCTTGCCTGCACTGCTTCTCTTCCCAGGGCCAGCTGGTGCCTACTGGTCCACCTTTCAGCTACTGTCTAGTTAACTTGAAATCCCTGTGAGTGTGGTGCAGTCACACTGGCTGGGACCTGTACTTCAGGCTGAAATCCTGCTCTTTTCAAGGGTTCTGACACTGCTTTAATATTGAGTTCCTCCTCTTCTAACCAGTGCTGTACGCCTCTCAGCGCCGGGCACAGCTGCTGCTTTGATATTTGGCATTCTGCTTCCTATGCTTCTTTTGGAAAACCCATCCCTGACCTGAAGGACAGGCCAAGATTCCTCTGGGATTTCCATGATTCTCCTGTTCTGCAGTATGACACTGTTTTCCTGTTCCTCCAGGTGGGATTTTGGAGATGGTGTCCAGGAGACGTACCTATTCAAACCTCCCTACAACAAGTCCTTTCTTGTTCCTGATCCCAATGTCCATGAGGTTGTAATTGAACACAACGTTTCACACATCTACCAAGACCCAGGTATGCTCAAAGAAGGTTCCTGAGGGAAGAAGGGGCTCAGCCAGAGTTCCTGGAAGTCTCTAGCAATTGTCATCCTCTATAACTCTGTTTCTCAGAGAAGTTTGGCCACGCTGTAAGAAGCAGGTCCACCACGCACAGTCCCTTTTTGGGCAGTCTCAGCAGATGGGTGAGGGACAGGCAGCACTATGCTGATGGGAGGGGTGGGCAGCAGGAAGGATCTGTTTTGTGGGCAAATAGGAAGAAAATATTTTCTCTGTGCCTGTTGAACTGGCACCTTGCTTGGTGTTTGATCCTCAGACATGTGGCTGATGTAAAAAAGAGGAGGGAAGCGCAGGCTGTGCACAGAGCCAGAGCAGACTATCTCCCTGCAGCCCCCTCATGCCCTTGGCACTGACACAGCACTGAGAACCTGTTGACAAGCATGTCCTCACCTGGGTCTTGTTCTCCTCTCTTCCATTGCAGGAGAATATGCCCTGATGGTTGTCGTGTCCAACCAGTTTGAGAACCTCACCCACCTGACCCCAGTTCACATCCACAGTTACCTGATTGACATGAAGGTGGAAGCAGAGGAGGATGTTCTAGTCGTGGGCCATCCGGTCACCTTCCGAGCCACTCCACTGCCATCTCCGTACGGTGTCGTGTACACCTGGGACTTTGGGGACGGCTCCTCCCTGCTGATGGAGAGCCAGCCCACAGTGGCACACAGCTACCCCCGGCTAGGGGTGTACAACGTCACCGTGACAGCAAACAACACCATAAGCAGTGTGGAGACAGTGGAGTGCTACCAGGTGTTTGAGGAGATAACTGGGCTCCATGTGTCTGCAGGTGAGGCAGCAGAGCTGGGAGCAGCTGTCACCATTAATGCTTCTGTGGTAACAGGGGACAGCATCACCTGGATATTCGACATGGGGGACGGGACAGTGCTGAGGAGTCAAGTGCCTGTGGTAGAACATGTGTACATGAAGGACATCAACTGCACAGTGAACGTGACAGCTGTGAACCCTGTGAACTCCATCTCCCAGACCGTTCCTGTTCGGATATTTGTCCTAGAGGTACTCAGAATAGAGCCTACTTCTTGCATCCTGGAGCACCCCGATGTGCAGCTCACCGCGTACGTGACGGGGAACCCTGAGGAGTACGTCTTTGATTGGACCTTTGGAGATGGCTCATCCAATGTCACGGTCAGTGGGGACCCCACGGTGGTGCACAGCTTCACCCAGAGTGGGACATTCGCTCTCTCCCTGACTCTCTCTAGCAGGTTTAACAAGGCTCACTATTTCACCAGTGTCTGTGTGGAGCCAGAGATAGTCAATGTCACCATTCTCCCTTCCAAGCACTTTGTAAGGCTGGGGGAGGAGACCACCTTCCAAGTCAGTGCTGTGCCTCCCTACCAGTACCGCTACCGCTGGGATTTCGGCAACAATGAGTCTGCCAGATCGAGTGGGACTGAAGTGACCTACACCTACAAGAATACTGGAGTCTTCCTGGTCACAGTGACCGTCTCCAACAATGTCTCCTTCAACAACGACACAGCTTTTGTGGAGGTCCAGGAACCAGTTGGGGTAGCAAAGATTGAATATAATGGGACAAGCGTTTTGGAGCTCAACCAGATCTACCTGTTCTCTGCCAGCATGAATGGAACCAAAGTGGGTTACCTCTGGGACTTTGGAGATGGCACTACACAGACTGGGCAGGTTGCCACTCACTCCTACAGCAGCACAGGCCACTACAGCATTACTGTGCTGGGCCAGAATGATGTGAGTTCTAACAAGACCACCATCGATGTCGCCGTGAAGCGTCGGCTCCTTGGCCTAACGGTCAATGCCAGCAGGACAGTGGTGCCACTGAATGGGTCAGTGAGCTTTGTGGCCACCCTGGTGGCTGGCACTGCCATCCGCTACTCCTGGATCCTCTGTGATCGCTGCACTCCCATCCAAGGCTCCTCCACCATCTCCTACACCTTCAGGTCCGTGGGCACCTTCAATGTCATTGTGACAGCAGAGAACAAGATCAGCTCGTTGCAAGACAGCATCTATGTCTATGTCCTGGAGCAGATTGAGGGCCTACAGGTGGCCAGCAGTGACCTGGTGGAGGACATGTATTTCCCAACTAATAAAACACTCCATTTGCAGGCCATGGTGAGAGAGGGAACAAACATCTCCTACAGTTGGGTAGTCCAACGGGATGGCAATGCTGTGCAGACCTTCACTGGGAAAACCTTCTCCTTGAGCGTCCTAGAAGCTGGGAACTACACTGTGTACCTGAAGGCCACCAACATGCTGGGATGTGCCACTGTTAACAGGACACTGGAGTTTGTTGAAAGCCTTGGCCTCCTAAAGCCCCATGCCTTCCCCAATCCAGCTGCTATTAATGCCTCTGTCAACATCAGTGCCACCATAACCAGTGGCACTGGTGTCATGTATGTGTGGTACCTAGAGGATGGCTTCTCTCCTGCTACCTCTGAACCCTACATTATACACTCCTTCCAAAGCCCTGGAGTGGTTGAGGTGGTCGTTGAAGCAGAGAACAAGCTGAATTCAACCAATGCAACAGTTTCTATCTGTGTGGAGGAGGTCATAGATGGGCTGAGTATAGGAACAGCAGAGCTGGACTGTAGATATGTCTCATCAGGCTCCACAGTGGTCTTTGAGGGGGAGCTGCAGAGAGGCACTGAAGTGACCTGGCTTTGGGAGGTGCCCAATGGCACATTGACTGGCCAGTCTGTGGCTGTCACGTTCCCCACAGCAGGGTTTTACACAGTCTTTCTGAACGCATCCAACAACATCAGCTGGGCTCTGGCCAGCAGGAACATCTCAGTGCTGGACAGGATTCAAGGTCTGGAAGTTATTGCCAGCAAGAAGGTGGTGGAGCCAGGGGAGCAGGTCACCTTTGTGATCAAGATGCTGTCAGGTACCTCTGTGAGTTACCTGGTGAGCATCAGTGGGGACTACTCTGTGGTGCTCAACGGGTCCAGGTACACCCATGAGTTCACCAAGAGTGGTGATTATTTGGTGACTGTGACAGTGCAGAACCAAATCAGCATTGCACACGCTCAGGTGCTCATCTCTGTCCTGGAGGCCATCCATGATGTCAGGCTCCTGAACTGCTGTGAGTTGGGCATCCCCACGGGCATGGAGAAGACCTTCAGTGCCCAGGTGGGGAGTGGCTCCCGTGTGTCATTTTCCTGGCAGTTCTCCCTGTGGAAAGAGCGAAGTCAATCCATGGTCACTGTGGCAGGAGAGAGTGTTTCCTACATTCCAGAAGCTGCAGGGCTGCTTGAGATTCACCTCAGTGCCTTCAATGACTTGGGAAGTGTCAGTATCACCAGAACCATCCAGGTCCAAGACGCAATAGTCCAGGTCTCCCTCACTGCATCCAATGCCTTCGTCAACAGGACAGCACTGTTTGAAGCCGTGGTGGTGCCCAGCAGCAGGAGTGTTGAGTTCTTGTGGAGCTTTGGGGATGGCTCTTCCACTCAAATGACCAGAGTTGCAGTGGCCAACTATTCTTACCTGAGCCCTGGGGATTATCTGGTGGAGGTAAATGCCACCAATCTCATCAGCTTCTTCATAGCCCAGCTCACTGTCACCGTCCAAGTGCTGGAGTGCGAGGAGCCAGAGGTGGAGTTGGCCTTGCCCCCGCAGGTAGTCATGAAGAGATCCCAGAGGAACTACCTGGAGGCACAGATTGACCTCCGAGGGTGCATCAAGTACCAGACAGAGCACCTGTGGGAGATCTACCGAGCCCCCAGCTGCATGAGCTTGGATGACTCCAGCAGGATCCGTCTGCCGAATGTTGACATGAACAGACCCCAGCTGGTCATCCCGAAGCTCGCCCTGGAGGTTGGCAACTACTGCTTCATGTTCATTGTCTCCTTTGGAGATACCCCACTGTCCAAAAGCATCTTTGCCAACGTGACTGTGATCCCAAGTAAACTGGTCCCAATCATTGATGGGGGATCATACCGTGTATGGTCCAACACTCAGGACTTGATCTTGGATGGGGAGAAGTCCTATGACCCCAACTTGGATGATGGTGAACAGACTCCATTGTTGTATGAGTGGTCTTGTACATGGTCTTCCAAGGTAAGAGCATCACAGCCAGTGTGATTATCTGGGAGCTCTAGCTGTATGGCAGCTCCACTACAAACACATGTCTGGGTTGAAATGGTGTTGAGGGAAAGCTTTTGTGAGCATCTTTAACAAAGCTGCTCGAGAAGGGTTGCAAAGGTTGAACTCCAAACTCAGGATGATGGCTCAGGTGTGAGGAGTGGTGCAGTGCAGTACCTCCAGGTATGGCAGAAGGGTTGGCTCTGGGAGCTGAGACCTTGGTATTTCTGCTTCCCTTGCACTTGGCCTCTAGGTCACGATGTGGAGGAGCTGTGGAGCTGTTGAGTGCAGTTCTGGGAGCTGAGGGCTCTGTTCCCTCTCCTATTAACAGTTAAATGTCTCTAATGCCATCTGGGACCAAAGTCAGACTTTGGAGAGGTCAAGTGACCACAGGTTGTGGTCACAAGCAGGTCACTGTCCTCACACACTGAAGTGATCTGACCTTACACTGATGGAAGGGCAAGGGAGAGCTGCCCTGCAGATCCTGATGATACACCTCAGGAGCATTTCTGGTTGAATGTGGGATTCTTTTGCTTGTAAAATGTCATGTTTTCTATCTTTATCTCAAAATAGCGTGATGTGGAGTGTGCAGGGATTAGACCTTTAGTTTAATGAGAGCTTGTTGTGTTGTTTGGCAATATTGATAAGCTATTTAATGAAGCCTTAATTGCTATAAAATACTAATTCGAAATTCAGATGAAATACAGGAGTATTCCAAGTACTGTTTACTAACCTGAAGAGTAGGATAATGTGCTTTATTGTCCACACACCCCCTGTTTGCCCCACCCCAGTGGTGGCACTGCACAGCAAGGTCTGTGGCAGTGACTGTGTGGACCTGAATGTTTTGGCTGTGGACTAACCTGATGTGCACCCGTACCAAGGAGGGTTTGAAAGTTCTTTTCTCCTTGCAAGCAGAGCTCGGCTGCAGGGTGCTCTCTGAATTGCAGTGCCAAGGAAGGGATTGTCACCATTCCCAAAGCTGCATTAGAAGCTGATGTGGAGTACACATTCGACCTCACTGTCAGGAAGGAGGGTATGAGCCCTGAGGCAACCAACCAGACCGTACGTACCACACAGCTATCTCTCTCTCCTTGGGTACCTCTTGCTAGACGCAGCCAAGCTGGGAGTCAGAGTCATGGAATGGTTTGGGTTGGAAGGACCTTAAGGCCCATCTAATCCCAGCCCCGGCCGTGGGCAGGGACACCTTCCACTAGCCCAGGTTGCTCCAAGCCCCAGCCTGGCCGTGGATACTTCCAGGGATGGAGCAGCTACAGCTGCTCTGGGCAACCTGTGCAAGTGCCTCAGCACCTCACAGGGAAGATTTAGTCCACGGCCCCTTTTGTAAGGAAGTTTCTAGAGGAGAAACGTCTGCTGGCTCAGGGCTTTGCCCAGCCGTGGGTGACTCCCCTGGCCCTGTTCAAGAGCCAGAGCCAGCTGAGGGGGTGAAAGTCACCGGGGCCTGTCTGCACAGCTGGGGGCAGCAGATTCTGGGGCATCACTGGGACTCTAATTGACCTCATCCAGGTCTTTGGCATGAGCAGACCTCGGTATTTCTGTGCTAGAGTCATCTTGTAATCATCTTACTTGGGCAGCACTTCTTGCTTGTCCTGCTAAGTCCTTTTAGATTTTGTATAGCATCACAGAATCATGTAGGTTGGAAAAGATCTTTCATAGAATCACAGAATCATCAAGGTTGGAGAAGACCTCCAAGATCATCAGGTCCAACCATTAACCTGTCACTGCATTTAACCCTAAACCCTAAACCATATCCTCCAGTGCCAGATCCAGATGTCTCTTAAACACCTCCAGGGATGGTGACTCCACCACTTCCCTGGGCAATTCCCTATTCCAGTGAAAGAAGTTTTCCTAACATCTAATTTGAATCTCCCATCTCAGCTTTAAGACTATCAAGTCCCACCTTGGGCCAGCAAAAGAGCTTGGCCATTTGGTGGCTCTTCCAGTGCTGTGTGCAGTCCTGGCTCTTCACATGCCACAGCACCAGGCTCTTCCCTGATTTTTGCCCAGAGGGATCTTCCTAAGAGCTGCTGCTTAATTATACTGTCAACAGTTCCTCTCTTCTCTCCTCCTGAATTCTTCTAAGGAGGATTTTTGAGTGCATGTTGTTTGTGTTGCACTAAGCCCAGCGCCAAGTGCACCCACAGCCCAACAGCAGCTATGGTTTGTGTCAGGAGCATTCACTGTGGGACTCTTGGCAGCTGGAGATGTAGTTAGTCTGTGAAAGTGGAAACTCTTACTGCCTTGGGTTTGAAACCAGAGCTGGAGGATGAAAAGAGCAAAAGGAGATTGATAGTCTTTCAAGGACATTCTGTCCTATCTGGTTTCCATGCCGGAGCACAAACAATTATTCCAGTGTCACAGGGAATCTGCAAACACTGGAGGAATGAATGAAGTTTCACTGCTCTCCAGATTAGTGCTGAGGAATATTTATCCTTCTTTAGGAGTCTGCCATGTTAAACAATGTCTTCATGACTGTCTTTGAGCTCACAACATTCACTGTGCCAGGGCAGAGGGCTCTGTCCAGTGCTGGACAGGCAGTTTCCTTGCGGATGAAAGGAATTTAGACAAAGCACAGGGGTCAGAGCTCAATAGCTGTTGTGTCTGAGCCACCGGTGCCTCTGCAGCTCTGCCAGGAAGGTGTGGTGCTTGTCTTGAGAAGTGCAGTTAGATTCCAGCTAAAAGCCTGGAACAATGTGCTGCTACTCTCTGGAAAAGTGCTCCTTCCATCCCCACCCTGCAGCCACAGCAGGACTTGCTGGAAGTTCAGCACAGGGGACCAGGGGTACATTTTGAAAGTGATTGACATAAATCACCTCAGCTTGGCATTGGCTCTTGAAAACCAGTGACAGAACTGGACGGTGTCAGAGCAATTATGTTGCTTAATCTGACCCAGTATCCTTTGGGAATCCCTTCCTCCTGTTTATTTAGCACTGGTGCAGTGATTCCTGCTTGCAGAACCAGCTGCTGGGATGTCTCCTTACTTGTTAGATGTCTGTATTTTGGTCTTGGATGTTCTGATGGAGCTTGTTGCTTTCCCAGGTGTTCATCAAGAGAGGAGGAGTCCCCATTGTGTCCCTGGAGTGTGTTTCCTGCAAGGCTCAGTCCGTCTACGAAGTCAGCAAGAGCTCCTATGTCTACCTGGAGGGCACCTGCCAGAACTGCCACAACGACTCCAAGCTTGGAGTAAAGTCATTGCTCTTTGCTTCACCTTTGGTGGGATTCAGGGAGAAGGGGACATACAGACAGGGCAGGGGAGAAAGGGCTGTGTGAGAAAAAAGGTGCTGTAGAGACGAGGAAGGGAAGCAGTGATCTGGCTGAAGGGGTGAAGAAGGGTGGATGATACTGGTCTTTTTGCCACAGCCCCTGGAACTGGCTCCAAGAGTGGCTTGCAGGGTTAGAACTTTAAAACAGACTCTGCATGGAGCTTGCCTGGTGTGGTGTGTGACTCCCACGTCATGCTGTGTCTTGGCAGCGTGGAGGAGTCTAGGAGAGCCTCTGGAGCAGGTTCCCCATGATCTGTAACCTCTGGACCCCCATGAGATATCCATAACTTTGCTTTGCCCCATGTTGTGCTTTTGAGGTACATGACCTGTCAGTCCCCCATCCATGTCTGACCTACCAAGGCCAAGTCCTTGCTGGGTCATTCCCAAGCCATGACCAGCTTTTTCCACACAAAACCCACCTTTTCCCCCCAAGAAGAGATCAGTAAAGTGTTTTTTCTCCCTGCTGCTTGGCATTTTACCCATTATTCTAGTGGCTGAAGCAGAGGTGGTTCAGTCTCTCCTGATCCCCCAAGTCCCTCATGCCCTCCAGATTCCACTGCACAGCATCTCTGCTGGCTGTGGAGTGGAGCAGGTCTCGGGACTGGAAGTCCTGTTGCTCCCAGCATGTCCTTGCTTGGCATTTTTCTGGCTGGTTCTCTTGTTCTCACAACTGTAGGTTTGTGCTATTAACAGCAACCACCCAGGCCACGTTGAGCTCGAAGCGCATGAAACATGGTATCCCATGGAGACCCCACCAGGCCTTGCTTATTTCCTGTGTTTTGTACTCTGTATTATGAAATATTCTGTCGGAGGGTGATGTAATCCCAGAGACTAAAGTAAGATCTCACAGTGGAAATATTCCCACCAGACATTCTGGCAAGGTTCCAGTTCTTGTTGCTGTAGCACACAAGACTTAAGCTGAATTATCAACTGCAAATTTGGCAGACTCTCCCACTAGAAATCTGTTGCTTTTTATAAGAGACTCAATCTGAAAACATTTTAAGGACATAACTTCAGATTTAATCAAAACTTCTGCTGTCTCTCCCCTCTCCATCCGTGCAGAGATGGGCAGCTCACAGCTTCAAGAACAAGTCTCTCATCCTGGACAAAAGCACCACCTCCACTGGTGACACAGGGATGAACCTGGTGCTGAGGCAAGGGGCACTGAAGGATGGAGAGGGTTACACCTTCACCCTCCACATCACAGACCTTACCACAGGGGAGGAAGGCTTTGCCTCCATCGACCTGCTCCCCAACCAGCCCCCCGTGGGGGGCTCCTGCCAGCTGTCTCCCAGGGGACCCCTCAAGGCACTGATGACCAAGGTGCACTTTGAGTGTACAGGTGAGAGCGTAGGGACAGCAGCACTGGGCACCTGCCAACTCTCCCTGCTCCTCAGGGGCAAAGGCTTCCCTTGACCAGTGGTACCAGTTGCTCTTCCCAATGCCAAGTCCTTGCTGGGTCAACACTTCCAGGGACGGAGCAGCCTCAGCTGCTCTGGGCAACCTGTGCCAGTGCCTCAGCAGCCTCACAGGGAAGGGAATCGTAGAATAATAAAGGTTGGGAGAGGTCTCTAAGATCATCAAGTCCAACCATTAACCTGTCACTGCTGTAACCCCTAAACCATAGAATCATAGAATTTTAGGGGTTGGAATGGAGCTTAGAGCTCATCCAGTGCCAACCCCCTGCCCTGGGCAGGGACACCTCCCACTAGACCAGGTTGCTCAAGGCTTCATCCACCCTGACTTTGAACACTCCTAGGGTTGGGACAATACCTTCCAGTGTCAGATCCAGATATCTCTTCAATACCTTCAGAGATGGTGACTCCACCACCTCCCTGGGCAATATTCCAGTGCCTGAACACCCTAACGGGGAAAACAATTCTCCTAACATCCAGTTTGACTCTGCCCTGTCTCAGCTCAAGGCCTCTAGTCCTCTCCCTGCAGCCACGGCTGGAGAGACCATCCCCCACCTCTCTATAATCTCCTTTCAGGAGGTTGTAGAGGTGAGATATGAGATGTGGGATGTGAGCCATGAGCCTACCCTCATTGCTGGGCAGTGCCAGCCCAGCTAGATGGCTCATGCTGTGGGATGGTGTGTCACCTTGCCCCCCTGAGCCACGTGTGTGGTTGCCCTGCAGGGTGGAGGGACACGGAGGACGCAGAGGCGCCGCTGGTGTACATCCTGCTGGCCTCGCGCCACCGCGCCGGCCACCACCACGAGTTCTGCGTCTACAAGGGCAGCCGAGCCGAGCACAGCGCCTTCCTGCCCCCCGGATTCCATGACAGTGGCTTCAGGGTGTTTGTGGCTGTCCTCGTGCAGGACCAGCTGGGAGCCACCGTGGTGGCCATCAACTGGTAAGACGTCGCACCAGCACGCTGGGCTCACCCGCAGCGCCGCTGCCCAGCCTGGGCTGCCATGGCTTGGTCAGAGGGGCCTGTCCTGAAGGGGTTGGTGGGTGCTGGGTGAGAGGTTTGCCTCCTGGAAGAGGCTGTTGGCAGGAAGTCAAGGGAGGCTCAGCAGAAGTGCAGTGCAGAGAATTCCAGTTGTTGTGGCTCATTGCTCAAGGGGAAGGTTTTCCCAGAAGTTGCTGCTTTTGTAGAGTCATGGAATTGTTAAGGTTGGGAAAGATTTCTAAGAGCATCAAGTCCCAGAGCTGAGCCATGAGGAGCCATGATTTCTGCCCATGGTGCTCCTCCATACAGCTCATGCAAACTGAATACCAAAGCATCAACAATACTGTCCTTGTGGTTCAACCACCTGCTTCCCCCTCCTCGCCCTTCCCGGCCCATGACAAGCTGAACATAACCCAAATCCCTCTTCCCTTGCAGCTCCATGGAAATTGGCTTACCTGAGGGGTTTCCCAGCCTCTCCCACTGGCTCTACAATCAAACTGACACCGTGCTCCAAGGATTAGTGAAACAAGGGGACCCTCAGCAGGTCATCGAATACTCTCTGTCCCTCATCACCATCTTAAACGAGGTAAAGCAGCTCTTTCTGCTGAGGAGGAGCCTCCAGAATTCCTTGTAATCACCAGTAACATTCTTTTGGGGCCAGATTTTGTACAGTGATAGAAGGAAATGACTAATTAAACAGTGTTTTCGTGTAAATTAGTGGATGTGCATGCTGGCAGCCGGGATGGAGCTGTTTTCTTGCTTCAGATGAGTTGCAAGCTCCAGACACGGTGACCAGGGGAAGCAGAAGGGCTGCAAAATAAAGCAGAGGTCCTGGAGGAGGCAGTGCCTGGGTGTCTTCCATGCTCCTGCTTTTTCACCCTCATATTCAGATAGTTTTTCCTCTTTACTGCCAACCTTAAGTCTAAACATTGAATTTAGAAACAGAATCTTAGCCCAGATTTCCTCCCTTCCTTGGAGCTTCCCAGTCACCACACTCCAACTCAGCAGGGCTGGGAACTCCCTGTAGCTGCTCAGAGGATGCTCTAGGTGCTCCTTGTTCTGCAGCTGGAAAGATCTTCTCATTGTATGGAAGGTTCTTAATCCACAGTGCAGGAGCATCACCTTCCTGGCAGAATTCACTTTCACTCCTAGCTGAAGTCGGGCCCAGTCCCTCCATGTGCGTCTCTGTAGGCAGGGTAGGAATTTGGAGCTATAGTCATGCTTTCCTGCCTGGTAAGAGCAGCTGCACACCTGGAATCAAGGCAGGGGTGATCCCCTGAGCACAGGCTCTTTGCTTAGCTGGATAAGTACTGCACACTGGGTACTACTCAGCTGTTAAGTGCAAGGCTCTTGAGATAATTGCTTGGAGAGCAGAAGTGGAGTTGAGGAAGTTCTGCTGAAAAACCACCTCATTAGATCTCTTTGGGGGGAAGCAGAGCCAGGGAGGTGTGGAACAGGGAACAGGTGAGTTCAACTCAGCTGTGAAACAACCTCCTCCCTTTCCTGACTGTTTTTTCCCCCCTCCCAGTACGAGCGCTCCACGTTGCTGGAGCCTGAGGCTGGGAATGAGTTTGAGCTCCGGACCTGGACTCGGAACAACATCACAGAGACCCTGAACTCCCTGAAGGTGAACACAGTGGATGACATCCAGCAGATCTCAGCTGCCTTGGCACAGTGCACGGTATGTTCCCCATCACCACCTCCTGTACCTCCAGCTGCAGCTTAGATGCTCCTCAGTCCTTGTGCTTCTCGGGCTCTTTCTGCCACACAATGCTGTCAAGGGGTCGGTCGCTCCTTGACACCATTAGGGTTTCTGTGGTGATGTTCTGAGTGCTGTCAGCTCAACCCCTTGCTGTGCCACCAGCCTGGCAGATGTTGGTAGGCACCCAAGAACTCTGTGCTGCTTCTCTGGTGCTTGACCTGGCATGGCAGTGTGTGGAGACTGCAGGAGAGGCATGACAGGCTGGAGAGCCATAAAATCATGCAATGGTTTGGGTGGGAAGGTCCTTGAAGACAATCTTGTTCCAACCCCCCTGAACATCTTCCACTAGCCCAGGTTGCTCCGTGCCCCATCCAACCTGGCCTGGAACACTCCCAGGGATGGAGCAGCCACAGCTACTCTGGGCAACCTGTGCCAGTTCTTCACCACCCTCACAGGGAGGAATTCCTTCCCAATATCCCACCTAACCCTGCCCTCTGGCAGTGGGAAGCCCTTCCCCCTTGTCCCATCACTCCATGTCCTCTCCAGCTCTCTTAGAGCCCCTTTAGGCACTGAAAAGGGCTCTAAGGTCTCCTTGAAGCTTCTCTGCTCCAGGTGAACACCCCCAGCTCTCCCAGCCTGGCTCCATGGCAGAGCTGCACCAGAAACACTGGAATAATTTGCTGGGGGAGTTGCAGACTCTCCAAGGACAGTTTGTGCTCCCAGCAGCAGTAACATGAGCAGAGCCAGACCTGCCTTGGGCCAGGGGCCAGTGCCAAGGCCTGATGTTCCTCCCAGCTCTGTTCCTATGCTAGGAGATCAGAAACCCTGCTCTGTTCTGCTCTGACTGGAAGCACCATGTTCCCCAGCCAGCTCCCAGCTTTAGTTCCCAGTGCTGGAGCTGTTGCCTGGTGCATTTAGGAGCAGCTTTCTGTGTTTTGTCAGATGGGCAGAGGGAAGAGAGCCCAGTTATATAATGCACTTGGGGTTTGGTGGTCAGCCAGGCTCCTCTGGCATGCTGCTCCTCCTCCCAGCCCTCCCAAATCCTTGCTCTGGGGACTGGAGTCAGGTACCTTGGCTGTGCATTGCCTCCAGCCAGCTCAGGGCATCTCTGATGGACATCATCTCTGCATGATGGACAGGCTACTGCATCCTGCCCAGAGTCCCTGTCCTGCTGCTCCCTCCTCTGCCTCGGAGTCTGCAAACCTCACAATCCTTTCTGTCCGTCTTTGTTCAGGGTTTGGGGTTCAGCACATCTCATTCCGTGCTGGATGGGTTTGTTTGTGTCTCTCCCACTTCCTCCTGTCTCGTGACTTGAGCTCACTCTGGAAGCTTAGGCCTAGAAATAGAGTTCTTATTCCACAGGCAAAACTGACATTCCGGGACTAGTTTGTGCTCTGGACTGGAACGAAAAGCTCAGGAAAACAGCAGTCTAGAATTTCCCAAGTGACTGAGACAAGTGGAGTTCACAGATCAGTCCATCAGGACTCATGCTTCTTTGATTTTACCTACAGGGGAAGGCAAACATCAGAATTTCCCTCCTGGAGGGAATAAAACAGGGAATCAGTCTTCTTGGTCAATTCTTCTTCTTAAGTAGGAGCTGCCCTTGGGTGATTCCTCCCCACAACCCTATTTCTTCCCCAGCTCCCTGACTCCTGACTGTGGGCTCCAAGTCTCACAGTATGTCCTGGAGTCTCACAAACCAAAGCAGAAAAGGGAGAACTCAAGACCTGCAGATGCTGTTTTGATTCTTCTGAAAAACATATGGTAAATCACGTCTGATCCTATGATGATTAAAAGAAAAGGCGATGAATAAAAGCAAGGAACAGGGTTAATAAAAGCAAGGAACAGGGTTGTGGTAACAGCTTCCATGTGTTGCATCAGTCCCTCCCATCCAGCCCTCGAGAGTGCAGGAAGCTCCAGGCCATGGCTAGAACATTCTGTTTCTTGGACACATCTGGGAGCAGTGGGAGGGACATCCATCATGCCTGAGTGGCAGGATCCCTCCCACAGCCTTCAGGAGTGTTTGGACACTGAAATGGCTTTGGTTAGGGTTAAATCCTGCTTCCAATGAAGATAGCAGGGCAGATGGAGGAATCCCATCCAGCTCTTTGTGGTTGGTTCCTGTAGGAACAGTGTGTGGCCCCAAGGGGAGATGTGCAAGGGCCTTACAAGTGAACTCCAGGGAACAGGAATACAGAAGCATAGAGTCCTGGAATGGTTTGCATTGGAAGGACCTTAAAGATCATCCTGTCCCTGTCCCATGGGCAGGGACATCTTCCACTAGCCCAGGTTGCTTCAAGCCCCATCCAACCTGGCCTGGACCACTCCCAGGGGTGAGACAGCCACAGCTTCTTTGGGCATCAATGTGGTCCCTTTATTCTTCTTTCCAACCCAGAAATATCCTCTGTCAGACTCAGGCTTGTGTGCCTCTACCCTGGCACGCTGGAATGTCGGGGAGGTGGATGGAAGAGTCTTGGAGACAGCAACAACTTGTTGACCTCTCTCAGCATGCTGTCCCCTCCCCAGGGCTGGGAGGAGCAGGGGTGACTCTTAGAGTGAAAAGATCTTCCCAGGACTGAGCTAGTTGGACTTTCCCTCAGCTGCCTTTCCTTTCCCTGGGACTGTTCCTGCTCCATCAGACCCTGTTTCCCTTTGCAGGTGGTGAGCAAGGAGCTGGTGTGCAAGTCATGCCTGACAAGGACCTTGAACAAGCTGGAGACTATGATGACCATCCTGCAAGGAGAAACGACTCAGGGCACTGTGACACCAACTGGCATAGCCGACAACATCCTCAACATCACAGGTGAGTTTTGTCTTGTGGGAACACTGATCAGGGCACAGGGCTCCGTCTCAGGGTGCTGGGCAGCTTTGCAGCCTTTCTGCTCTGCCATTTGGGGGTTGTCTTTCTCCAGCCGTTAGGGAGTTGCCTGTGAGATTTGGTGTGTGGCATCCCAGGGCTCTCTTCTCGCTGCACGTTTTCCAGCGCTGTCCTGGCATTGTCTCTGTGCACATTTAAATATGACAGTTGATAATAAATTCACTAATACTCCTAATAAGCTCACTAATACTCCAGGGAATTCTCTTTTTAGTAAACAATGAGTAACAGCTCTGGTTTCCAGATGCTTTCTGCCTGGTTGCAGCCTGAGCTCGCTGGGGCATCCATGAACAGGGTGGAAATTCTCACCTTGCTGACCTGGGAGGAAGCAGAGACACCTTCTCTGCACTCCTTCCTGAGTGCTTTCCACTTTAGAATGTAAAAACTTAGTAACATATGTTTGCTTTATACATTCCTTCCTTCTTCCCTGCTCTCTGTGGTTCTGTTTGCTATGCGGGAGGAAAACAAAGCCTGTTGTGGTTAAGTATCCTCCACTAAACTTTGTAGATTAGAGAGGCTGTAGGAGCTGCTGACAGCTCTGACAGCTCTGTTTTTAGCTCTGGGCTACAAACACTTCCAGTGGGGAAAGTCGTGGGTAGAGTAACAGTGAGAAGACAGGAAGAAAAGACCTGTGTGATTGCTTTGGGAGATGTCAGGTGCTGTCTGGGCTGGAGGAGTTATCCAGGCTATTTACCCCTTTGCACCTCTCTTTCTCTTCTGGCAGGTGACCTCATTCACCTTGTGAATACAGTTTCCCAAGAATCCCAGCCCCAGGAGCTGCTGGCTGACTCCCCCAACCTGCTGCTGGCTCCCAAAGCCTACAACCTGTCCTCCAGCCTCATGCGCATCCTCATGAAGTCGCGAGTGCTGAATGAAGAGCCCCTGGAGCTGGTGGGAGGAGAAATTAAGGCCACAGGCAAGAGGTCTGACCCCTTCAACTTGCTTTGCTATGAGAACACACCAAACTGCCAGTTCTCCATCCCTCAGGCCTTCAACTCCACCCTGTCCAACCTGACAGATGTCATTCAAGTTATGTTCCAGGTGGACTCCAATCCTTTCCCTTTTGGTTACATAAGCAACTACACAGTGTCCACCAAGGTTGCCTCCATGGAGTTCCAGACACACAACGGAGTGCAGATCCCTATTGGCAGCCTAGACTCAGAGAAAGCCATCACTGTGATGGTGGCAAACAACACAGACCCTGAGAATCTTGCTGCTGGCACTGAAGTCATCGAGCCAAGAACGTCTGTGAACCTAATTGTGGTCATGGAGAGCAACAACAGAGAAGCAGGACTGCACTTCCAACTCACCTACAGAGTCCTAAATGGTAGTGTAGACACATCCAACTCTTGCTGCTCATTGCTGGTACTTCCCATGGCAGAGGAGGGCTGGGTGTTGCAGCAGAGAGCTGTGTCAAGAGATAAGTGGGATGACAGGTGTAGCCAGCAAGTTCTGCCCTGCATGGTTGAAGTTCTGGCTGTCCTGGGCATTATCCAGTGCCCAGTGTTATCCTTGTTGTGGATTCTGGCACTGGGAAGCCTATAGCTTGTTTTCAGCCCTACTGGTGAGCCACATTAGTACTGGAGGGAGTTGCTCCGTTTCCTCTCCTGGGTAGGTGCAATGGTATCCGGTGGTCAGGGATCCTCTGAGCTGCTGATGGAGTCTGGAACAGCATCTCTCCCAACTTCCTGCACTCATCCTCTTCCCTGAACACCACCACTGGCAGCAAGTCGATGGAGGCAAAGCTTTCCCAGGTAATCATAAACCCTTTCTGTTTCCTCCCCACACAGATCTCTACCTTGCCAGTGAGCCTGAGCCCTTCATCATGGCCTATCTCCACCATGAGCCTGAGCCCAATGAGCACAACTGCACTGCCTCCAAGAAGATCAGACTGGATGCCCTGGCTGGAAGTGACCACAAGCTCTACACCTTCTTCACCTCACCCAGGTAAGAGAAGCCTCCCTGGTAGTCCCTGTGAGCCATCCTGTGGATGCATGTGAGGGATGCTCAGGTAGTTTGTCTCAGGCTGCTGTGCAGGACTGGAGCTGTTGGAGCCATCCACGGTGCTCTTGTGTCCTGGGAGGAGACAGTTCTCCTGGGCAGGAGCTGCCAGCTGCCATCCCTGCACCCCACCATTGGCATCTCTTCTACCCTTCCCTCCTTTCCAGACATCTTCTCCAAGTGGTGCAAAAGCAGCTCAGTGCTCTGTGATTTGCCTTTCTGGTCTCCTGAAAGGGGTTCTCTAAAAGGATTCTCTTTTTAGAGCTGTAAATCCTGTACTATCATGGTCCTTACTTAGGGCCTCTCCAAGTGATGTCTGCCCTTTCCTCTACTTGCTTGCCTGGTACCTGCTGAGCTCTTGTGACACCCGATTGGGCTCACATCCATCAGGACATTGTGTCCCTTCAGGAGCTGAGTTCATGTCATCTCCTTACTCTTTCCTTTCTCCAGAACGGATGACCCCATCCAGAAATACTACCTGAACATCACCAACCACTTCAGCTGGTCACCAGTGGAGGTGACCCTGGGGCTGTACACGTCCCTGTGCCAGTACTTCAGCGAGCAGGAGAAGCGCTGGAAGACAGAAGGCATCATCCCCCTGGAGGAGACCAGGCCAGATCAGGCTGTGTGCTTGACCCAGCACCTCACTGCCTTTGGGGCCAGCCTGTTTGTGCCCCCAAACTCTGTCCAGTTCATCTTCCCTGTGAGTACAGCAAAGCAGAGGCTGTGCAGTGTTGCCACACACTGAGCAGGTTGTTGTCACCTTGAGGAAAGCCTGAAGCTCCTGTTGGCTTCATGTTCAAGCTGGGTCAAACTGCTCTGTGCCTGGAACACCAGCACAAGCGCCTGGAGCCTGTGAGAGGTGCAGATGGGCACAGCTCACAGCGGGCTGTGCCCTCAGCTCAGGAATTTTGCTTGCTGCCTTTGCATATGACACTTATCTCAGTTCTGGACACCTCACAGTGTGTTCACCTCGTAGTGAGATGCCAAACACTGCTCTTAGCTGTCACCCAGCACTGTGTTATCCCTGGGGGATGCACCTGCCAGCTGCTCCCTGCTTCCCAGGGGCATCCAGGCTCTTCCTCGCTGTCCCAGTGACGCGAGAGGGAGCAGAGAGCTTTTGGCTGCTGCTGCAGTCTGTGGTGTCTGTGAGCAGCAGTGGTAGCCAGGAGGGAGGCAGGGAATGGGAATGGGAATGGGAAGGGGGTTCCTCCTGGGAAAAGGATGTTTTTCAACATGTTTCTTTTGTCCCAGGCTCCAGGCCCAGGCCTGAACTACATTGTTCTGCTGACATGTGCTGTCTGCTTTGTAACCTACTCGGTGGCTGCGCTGATCGTGCACAAGCTGGACATGATTGACCTGAACCGAGTGGGAGTGATTCCCTTCTGTGGGAAGAATGGGCTCTACAAATATGAGATCCTGGTGAAAACAGGCTGGGGCAGAGGATCAGGTGAGCCCACAGGCTGCTCCTGTGCTGGATTCCTCAGGTGACATCTGCGTAGTTCACCTAAGTCTTACCTCAGCATCCCACGCACTGAATGTTCCCTGTAGGGCCCAGAGCTGAGCTCTGAGCACTCAGTCCAGGGTTTCCCACAGCATTCCCAGTTCTTATGGTGTCATAATGGGCCAGGTCAAGAATCACAGAATGATTTGGGTTGGAAGGGACCTTAAAGCCCACCCAAGTTCCCCCCCCTGCCATGGGCAGGGACACTTTCCACCAGCCCAGGTTGCCCCACCACTTGCTGTTGGGGTGGGACAAGCAGCTGCTGCTGGAAAGAACCACCCCGTATAGAAAGCCCCTCACTCTGCCTTCCCTGATTGGGCTGTGGTTGTAGGAACAGCCTGAGGCAGTGATTGTTCCTCACTTCTGACCCTCTCCTGCAGCAGCATCCAGGCCTCTAGGCCCTTTGGATAGACACTTTTGCTGTCGTCAGCATCCATCACTTTGTTCTGCCATCTGAATCTTTCCCAGAAGCATGAAGCCAAAAAGTTTGGCTTCTGCTCCGGGGCTGGATTAGTGCTGAGAGCTGTGAGAAACATCATCCTGGTCTTGGAAATCTCTGCAGTTGGGGAGTGGAAGCCTTAAGCAAGGATGGAGGTGGAATGTCCACATGTCCCCGCCAGAAACATGCTCCTGTTGATCTTGGTGTTGCCACTGGGTTCCCTGGCAGCAGGTTTCTCCTGAAGCCACCCCAAGGACCATCCAGGTTGAGCAGGTGGACATGGGAGCATCTGGTACCAGAGAGAAAGCAGAGAAAACAAGTCTTTCAACTACTTGGTGGAATAACCATCCAGAATAAACCTCTCCTCCCGTTGGCAGGGCAAGGAATGTCACATCCCATCCCCTCCAAGGAGGAAAACGACAAGCATGCCAAGGTCCACACCCTAGACCAGGCTAAGCAGTTCTCCAAGGCTGTGTGCCCCTGTCCCTGGGTGTGGGGTGGCTGTTGAGCACATTTCTCTGTCCTAAGTCTCCAAGTGGCCCTCAAAGGGCCATTGCACCTGGCACCAGGTCACTGGGGAGCAGTGGCACCTCAGGTTGGCTTCCCTTCCCTGACTGATCCCCTTCCCTGCAGGCACCACAGCCCACGTGGGGATTGCCCTGTACGGTGTGGACAGCAAAAGTGGACACAGGCACCTGGATGGAGAGAACTCCTTCCACCGCAACAGCCTGGACGTGTTCCAGATCGCGACGGAGCGCAGCCTCGGCAGCATCTGGCGCATCCGCATCTGGCACGACAACAAAGGTCAGCCACAGACAGCTGTGTGGGGACAGGCACCCAGCACACACCCAGCCACAGCCTGCCCCTGTTCCACTCTGGACCTGGGCCAGGACAGAGGGACCTGGGCCTGAAGGGTCCATGGAGACCTACTGGACTGTGGAGACATTGCTGGTGGGACATGGATTCTCGATCATGGGGAAGTCTTCAGACTGGCCAGGTGACCCCTGACACATACAGTGCAATGTGCTGGGCACTGTGACAGTGTCAGTGTCACCTTGGGGGTGACCTGGCTGTGCCAAGCTTTTTGTACTGTGCTTTTTTCATGCTTCTGCCATGAAACAGAGTGTCTGCTATGAATCTTTCTTCATCTCTTCACTTGTAGGGCTCAGCCCGTCCTGGTACTTGCAGCATGTCATTGTAAGGGACCTGCAGAGCAGCAAGAGCTACTTCTTCCTGGTGAACGACTGGCTGTCGGTGGAGAGCGAGGAGAACGATGGCATGGTGGAGAAGGAAGTGTTTGCTGCCAGTGAGTGCTCACCCCAGGGTGTGGGTTTGGGGTGCTGAGGAAGGGACCAAAACAGGAGAGCAGTGAGACTCCAGAGCCTGCACACTGGCTCTTCTTCGCAACAGTGATGCCAAGTGCTCTGCTGGGTCCTTTGTGCTGGAGGGCAAGTCATGGCAAGGGCCTGGCTGTGCAGGAGAGAATCATGGAATCATGAAATCATTAAGGTTGGATAAGACCTTTGAGGTCATCAGGTCCAACCATCACCCCCCACACCATGTTTACCACTAACCATGTCTCCAAGTCCCACATCCACGTGATTTATGAGCAGCATGGTGACTCCACCCCTGCCGTGGGCAGCTGTGCCAGAGCTTTATAACCCTTCCATGAAGAAATTGTTCCTAATATCCAATCTAAACCTCCTCTGGCACAACTTGAGGCAGTTGGCTCTCATCCTGTCCCTTGCTCCCTGGGAGCAGAGCCTGACCTCCACCTGGCTGCACCTCCTGCCAGGGAGATGGAGAGAATGAGAAGGTTCCCCCTGAGCCTCCTTTTGTCCAGGCTGAGCCCCCTCAGCTGCTCCTTGTGCTCCAGCCCCTTCCCCAGCTCTGTTCCTTTCCTTGGACACACTCAGCCCCTCAATGTCCATCTTCTCGTGAGGGGCCCGGAACAGGACACAGGATTGGAGGTTCCTCAGCAGTGCCAGCACAAGAGGATGGTCACTGTCCTGCTTCTGTGGCCACACTATTGCTGACACAGGCCAAGATGTTATTTGCCTTCTTGGCCATCTGGGCACATTTGGGCTGTCACCAGCACCCCCAGCTCCTTTCCAGCCGGGCAGCTTTCCATCGTCTCTGTCCCAAGCCGGGAGCACTGCATGGGAGGGCACCACATGGGCGCAATATGGATGCTCCAAGGAGAGCCATGACCAGGCCAGCCAGGTTCCCTGAGCCTCTGTCCCTCGCTGCCCACAGGTGAGACAGAGCTGAGGAGCTCATGGAGGCTGTTCGTGGCGGAGCTGCAGAGAGGCTTCTTCGAGAAGCATGTGTGGCTGTCGCTGTCGCCCGCCCCGCAGCCGCTTCACCCGCGTCCAGAGAGCCACCTGCTGCACCCTGCTCATCTTCCTCTTCCTCTGTGCCAATGCCGTCTGGTACGGTGTTGTGGGCAATGTCCACCTCAGGTATGTGTTCCTCAGTGCTCTGAGCAGTCCCAGCCTCCTCAGGGACCTCCTGCCAGTCCCACTGGGGCAGGACAGATATAGAATCGTAAAGTCATAGGAGTTGGATTGGAGCTGCCCTGGCCAAGGACACCTCCTACCAGAACAGGTTGCTCAAGGCCTTAGCCAACCTGGCTTTGAACACTGCCAGGGCTGGGGCAGCCACAGCCTCCCTGGGCAGCCTGTTCTGACCTCACATCCACTGGGAAGAGGTGTCTTGGTTGTGGGCGTCAAGAGGGCCTAGATTCCGCCCTTCCCATTCTTAAGATTTTGGGGTCAAGGCATGGATCATGAATGACTAAAGAGATCTTGGTTTTGCTCTGCCATCTGTTAGTATGACCTAGGCCCATTTTTTTCTCTGCACATCTGGAATACTTGGTTGTGCAGGTATGGACTCATGGAGTTGTTAAGTTGGAAAAGACTTTCAGGGTCATCAAGTCCAACCATTCAACCACCATGTTCACCACTAAGCTTATGTTCAGCACTAAGTATATGCTCACCACTAATTTTTGCCTCATCACTAAATTTTGTCTCCCCACTTGGTTTTCTCTTCTTGCCTGTCTGGCAGTCTCAAATGTCACTTCTGCTGACACCTGTCTCTGGTCTCTCTTGGCTCTCTGCAGCAATGGGGCTGTTTCCAACCTGATCCCTGTCAATGTGGACACGGTGGCTGTTGGGCTGGTGTCCAGTGTGGTGGTTTACCCTCTCTACCTGATCATTTTATTCCTCTTCAGGATGGCTCGTGGCAAGGTAAGGTGGAGAAAGGGGAGGTTTAGGTTGGATATTAGGAAGAGACTTTTTTACGTAAAGAGTCGTCAGGCATTGGAATGGGCTGCCTGGGGAGGTGGTGGATTCACTGTTGGAGGTTTTTGAGATTGGATGTGGCACTTAGTGCCATGGTCTAGTAACGATGGTAGGGTTGGACTTGATGATCTTTGAGGTCTCTTCCAACCCTGCTGATTCTATGAAAAAAAATTAAAGAAAGAGCTGCAGGCTGCCCTGGTGGGTGGGATGCCATCAGGTTTGCTTAGCTGAGGCTAAATTGTGCCCTTCATGGGACATCACTCCAGCTGATTTGGATGTGGCACTTAGTGCCATGGTCTAGTAACGATGGTAGGGTTGGACTTGATGATCTTTGAGGTCTCTTCCAACCCTGCTGATTCTATGAAAAAAAATTAAAGAAAGAGCTGCAGGCTGCCCTGGTGGGTGGGATGCCATCAGGTTTGCTTAGCTGAGGCTAAATTGTGCCCTTCATGGGACATCACTCCAGCTGATCTCTGCACTGGTCCAGTTGTGCTGCACCATGGCCAAACCATTCCCTTAGCAAGTCTTTGCCTCCCTCCCTGACCTGAGATCAGTGCTGGGACTCTGACAGTGCCCAGAGACCAAAAGGGCAGATGTTAGAAGCTGTTTGGGCCATTCCTTCCCCTTGATTTCAGTATGTGACAGGCACCCAACTGCCCTGTAAAGACACAGCCCTCTGCTGCACTGGCAGGAGTCCTGGAGATGCTCAGTAGAGCATCTCTAATGGACTCTCTGCCCTGGGTGCAAGCTCAGCTGGCTGAGCAGAGCTGTGGTTAGGCAGTGGGAAAGGATTAGCTGGGGATTTAATGACTGGTTAGGCACAATTAGTAGCCCCATTAAGGATTCAAGCCAGCTGCTCAGGGTCTGATGAGCAGCAAATGTGCCTGATGTTCCTTCTTCTGGAAGCACTTCCTGCCTTGCAGGAGGTTCCAAACTCAGTGGGGCTTCTGGGAGCTTCTACCTGGGGCAGCCTAGGTGGCACTGGGCTGTGGTACGTGTGGGTACAGGTGTGCAAGGTGCCTGGGAGGCATATGCCTGTTCTCAGCCCCAGCAGAGCAATGAGCTGGGGAGATTCACTCAGCTGCAGTGAGTGTCACTTCCATCCCTCCTGTTCTGCTCCTGTCCCTGCAGGTGTCCATCAGCCACACAGTGACTCACTCAGACCAGCAGTCCTTGGAGATAGACAACTACCTGGACTCCTCCATCCTTGACAGCTCCTTCCCCACCTTCCCTGGGCTCCAGGCAGAGGTAACCTGCTTCATTCCCAAAAGCTGGACAGGCTGCACAGCTGTGTGTGCTCTCCTGTGTGGGCATAGTGTCCATCCTCAGCTGTCAGGGTGAGAGCTGATGCACTCAAGTGCCCCTGATAAAGAGCAGTGATGGAAGAGCCACAGCCCTTCATCCTTCACCTGCTCAGGCCAATCCCAGATCCAGTAGCTGTCTCTGTGAGCATGGACCTTCCCAGCCTGCTGGGGTGTTATCTCTGGAGGGGAGGTGGCTGCTGGAGGAGTAGCCCCACGGCTAACAGCAGCTCAGGCTTCCCAGTGAGCCCTGATGTTCACAATCTGCTGCTTTAACTAGCTACAAACCAGTGTTGTGTGCCTGAACCATCTCTGCTTCCTCCACAGGCTTTCTCTGAGCAAACCAAAACAGATCTGTTCTTGGAGGACTCCAAAAGGTGAGTGTAGGTGTCTGGGGATTGAGCTGTGGTTGTGCTCTTACAACTGCTTCCCTCTAGACAGTCCTCGACAGTTGCTTTTCCTTGTTTCCCACTCGTCCCTGACTACTCCATTCCTGTGTTTGCCCACAGCCTGGTACGTTGGCCCTCCAGTGAGGCCCTGCTCAGCTGGCCAGACCTCCTCAGTGACCCTTCCATCATGGGCAACACCATCCAGAAGCTGAAGAGGGGCCGAGCCAGTCGCCACCTTGGCCTAGAGGTGCCACTGGCAACCGAGGAGGACAACTTGTCCCTGGGGGTGCACCAGGGACAGCCTCGGTACTTCTCAGCCTCAGGTGAGCAGCCCTGGCTCAGGCTGGACAGGCACACCAGCAGAGCTGCTGCTGTCACCACTGACTTTGGTTTGAAGGGAGGGGGAGGAGGGTTGTGTCTGCTGAATGGGGGTTTAATCTGGCATCAGCCTGAAGTGAGTAGTCCCACAATGCTAACAAGTGTGCTAGCTCCCACACTGGGAGCAAGGACAGGTGTGTTCCCATGGGAATGCTGCAAGCAGCAGCAGCAGCAGCACTTCCTCACTGCTTACAAAGCCACAGTATGTCCCTGAGCCTCTGTAAGTGACTGAAGAAGGAGAACTGGGCCTCCTGAACCAGCAGTTTGATGCCCAGGTCTGCAGTTGAGCTAAGGGCACACAGGAGTTGGAGGACAGGAGCAGGGCAGGGCTGTTCCAAGGAGAAGAACATCACCCTGACCCTCCTCCCCAGTTCCACTGCTGTGGCCAAGCCCGGGGGGTGCAGAACCATGCCCTAGTGTGGTGCTGTGCGCCTGCCAATGCTGTTTGTGCTCTCCCTTTCCTCAGATGAGGATCTGATCCGGCAGATCCTGGCGGATGGAGCCAGTGGCATCTCCCACTCCCAGGACCTGGGGCCATACATGAGAGCTGAAACAGATCTGATCTCAGGCCTGTAAGTATCTGGGGAGCAGAGTCCCCACTGAGCCAGAGCCTCTGCTCTGCATCTGTGCTCCTGCTGGCCATGACTCCTGCAGCCCCCACAGCTCCAGGGAGGCACTGCCACCGTTCCAGGAGCCACCTGGAATATCCCTTGAAGCCTCAGCTATGTCTCCAACACTTCAGGACTGCTGGCAAAGTGTTGGGATGTGGATTCACTTCGTGGCACTGATGGGGGTGCTTGATTCTCTGTTGTGTTCCCATGCCCAGAGCTCTCTGCTCTGTGTCGCTGACCACACCCAGCTGGGCTGGCAGCCCATGAGTGTCTGTGTCCCTCCGTGACATGTCTGACTGTCCCAGACCTGCTGCACTGGTGCTGGCACTGGAGTTCAGCCCTGCTTTGTGCCATCCTGCTTAGCACAGAGCCAGCAGTGCCACAGCTCTCACCTGTCTCCCCCTGTGCCTCGGCAGGTCCAGTGTGTTTGGGGAGAAGGTGGAGACTGTCGTGATGCAGAAACTGAATGACAAAGGGCAGAGCGTGGCAGCTCCTCCCAGGGACCTGAGCAGATCAGCCAAGTCGACGTGGACAGGTACCAGGGCTGTGCCTCATGGGGGTGAGGGGTGCAGGGAGAGGGGCTCTCACACACAGCAGCACTTTGGGGGACACAAGGAGGTGATAGAAAAGGAGCGCTAGGAGAGGAAAACCCTGCGGGATGTATCTGCTATTTCCTACCAGCTTCTCCTGGAGCCTGGAGCTCGGTAACCACCACCTATGCTGTGGCAGTCCCTGTGGTGTGGAGCTTTCAGGTCCCTTCCAACCCAAACCAGTCTGGGATTCTATGATCCATCTCCTCCTGCCCACCCTGCAGATGGGAGGCTGCTCTGCTGAGCCTGTGTGCTCTCCATGTGCTGCCCAGTGGGAAATGCTTGGTATAATCCCTCCAAACTCACCCAGGGCTGGTTGCAGGCACTCTGCTGAGATGAGTGGTGTGCTCCTGTGCCTATTGGGACCCTTTGGCAGTAACATTGACCCTTTCTTTCCCTCCTCCTCCCAGTTGCAGACCAGACATTCAGGAAGCGTTTGCTGCCCTCCTGGTGCTCCTACCTGGCCCATGGGATCAGCCTCCTCCTCTTTGCCACCTCTACGGGGGTCTCTGTGTGGATTGGGGTGGGATTCTCCTCCAGTGTGGCTGTCATGTGGCTCATCTCAGGCATATTCAGCTTTCTGGCATCATTCCTGGTCTGGGAACCGCTGAAGGTGAGGATAACAGGAGTGCACCCTGTGCATGTGTGTATCAGCTGTGATTAACATCTTGTCCAGCTGCTAATCATGGAATTATTAAGGTTGGAAAAGACCTTTAGGATCAAGTCCAGCCATCAGGCAGCACCACCACCATGTTCACCTGTGTCCCCAGGTGCCACATCCATGGCCCTTCATGTTTTATGAACACTTCCAGGGATGGTGACCCCACTCTTGCCCTGGGCAGCCTGTGCCAGGGCTGGACAACCCTTTCCATGAAGAAATCAAGTCAGACTGGACACTATGTGGATTGAATGGTCTTTCCCATCTCCATATCCCTCAGGAAGGGAAGGATGTGGATGCCACCAGCAGTAGGAGAGGCAGGGCTGGTGGGACATGGTTTTAGAGGTCATCTGGCTGCTCCAAGAAGAAGCTGTGCCATGCTGGCTGTGCTGAGGGGCCCACAGGAGCTGGTGCTGGAATGTCAGGTGTCACAGTCTCCCTGTCCCCTCCAGGTGCTGCTGGAAGCTCTCTATTTCTCCCTGGTGGCCAAGAGGCTGCACCCAGAGGAGGATGACACCTTGGTGGAACAGCCATTTGTGGAACATATGTCTGAGAAGATCAGCAAGGTCAGGCCCCCACAGGGCTTTGCCCTGTTCCAGGCCAAGGAGGAGGCCAGGAAGGTCAAACTGCTGCACAGGATGCTGAAGGTGGGACATCTGCTGCTGCCTGGGAGCCCAAGGCAGAGGCAGAGGGCTGAGATACATGCTAGTGTAGGTCCTCCCAATCCAACTGGGATCTCCTGAGGTAGTGGGTGCATGTCTCCAGCTTCTGCCTCAGTTTCCCCATCTGGAAAAGCTTGGCTGTGATACTTGTCTTCTCTGTGCAGCTCTGAGATGGCTGGAAACAACCCTGAGGGGGTTGATTGAGAGCAGTTGCTGTTTGACTCCCAAACTCAGGTGT